TCATGATGCTGCCACCACCGTGCTTCGTCATGATGCTGCCACCACCGTGCTTCATCATGATGATGCCACCACCGTGCTTCCATGTGTTTGGTGTCACTAAGCATTGCATATAGTCTGAAAAGCTCCATTCTGGTCTCCTCAGACCAAAGAACCTTCTTCCAGGTGACTCCAGAGTCTCCACATGTCTTCTGCTGAACTCTGGTCCAGATTTAATCTGAGCTTTTTCCAACAGAGTCTTTCTCTTTGTCTCCATAAAGCTTTGATGGTGAAGAACAGACAGTTGTTTGAACAGTCTCTAACATCTCAGCTGCTGAAGCTGGAAACTCCTTCAGAGGAGTCATAGGAGTCTTGATGGCCTCCTTTACTAGTCTCCTTCTAGTAACTCCTTCAGAGGAGTCATAGGAGTCTACAAAACAGAACCAAAACCAAACTAGCCGGTTACAGCTAATTATATCGATGTAGTTCAGCCTAATTGACTCAGTCAAGAATCCCTTTGACCTGCATCACGGTGGACTTTCAGGCCACCTAACAGTAGCTTACGTACAACTTTATCTCGAGGTTCCACAACTTTTATGTCTACTGACCAAAATGAGGTGTTTTTCCTGGGAGAGGACGGAACCCTGCTGAATGTGTTCCCCTCAATATTCAAACTAAATCCCTATTCTCTTTTTTTTCCATTAATCACGTCTTAATTTTGACTATAAATGCCTGTTTTATTTATTTTTTTACTTTTATTAAGTGGATTTAATTCTTTGTCATGGCCGGCAGCTCCAGAGTGTGTTGGCTTTGACTGACACCAGCTCCTCCTGAACTCACAAGTCTTGGCTCATTAAAATGCTTGGGTTTGGCCTGAGTGCCCGCCGGCTGGTCGAGTGGTTCTCCAGCCGCCTGCCGATCATTCCTCTGCTGCTCAGACACTTGATTTCTAATGTTCCTCTCAAACAGCCTCAAAGTGAAGTGAAGGATGTCGATTTGTACGCCGAGCGCTCGACAGAAATGCTTCTCCTGTACGAATTAGAGAAGTAGACGTGTTCTGTCGGTTTGCTTGTTGTTTTCAGACACAATTTTTATTATACAACAAAAACAAAACATGGAATCAGGTATTTATTTGTGTAATAATCATAATAAAAATTGTGCTAATTCTTAGTGGAAGCACATAAATAAAGAAGAACAAGGGGCCCAGGATGGAGCCTTGGGGAACTCCACAGGTCAGACGGTCACTGATGATGACTGAATGTGGTCTTCATTCAATATATCACTAGGATTCATAAGAAACCCAAAATGTAGATCCTGAGGTTTTAATTGGGATTTAGTTCATCAGAATTAATACCTTAAGGCCAAAGTTATTGTCACTTTGGTGCTTTAATGTGTGAGTTATTTGTAATTTTGTGCTCAAATATCTGTTTTTGGGCCATTTTAATACTTGAACATCAAGTTTATTGTTACTTTTGTGTTTGAATATCCAATTTTTGACACTTGAGGGCACTAATGATGAATATATTTGTACTTTTGTGCTTTTATGTCCATGTTGTTGACAATTTAGTGTGTTAACGTCAAAGTTATTGTTGCTTTTAAGCTTTAAAGTCGGGTTTTTGGCACTCTGATGCAGTCATATTCAGGTTTTTGACATTTTTTTACATAAATTTCCAGGTTTTGTTTAGATGCGAGCTTATAGATGTATAAAGAGCAGACAAGTCATACTTCACCATCTTTTCTACCAGTTACATAGGAGTAAAACCAGTTGCCACATTCCCAGTCTGCAGCTACTGAATGTACAAACAGCTGGTTGATGTGAAGCTAAACTCAGCGTTTTTTTTGTCTCTACAGCCGTCTGGACGCCAACCACATCTCCAGCGTTCCCGTTGGCTGTTTCTCCGGCCTGCGTTCGCTCCGCCACCTCTGGTTGGACGATAACTCCCTGACGGAGGTGCCGGTGGAGGCTCTGAGCGAGCTGCCCGCCCTGCAGGCCATGACGCTCGCCCTCAACCACATCGGCCACGTCCCCGACCACGCCTTCAGCAGGCTGGGCCGCCTCGTGGTGCTGTACGTCCACTAAAAACACTTCATTTATTCACAAACATTCCCCAAAATGTCCTAAAACTCAACTATTCAACGAGGAAACTGAACCGGTTGGTTTTAACGCAGCACACTGCAAACCAAGGATGTTCCTTTTTGAAATGGTGCCAAATGTCTAATATTAAAACAGACATAAATATCCTTAAAGTGAGCCCACATGACTGTATTCACCAGAACCTGAAGGTCACTGCAGTCATAAAACAAATAAATTATGAACTCCAGACACATAAAACTTGAATTTCTGTCTCTTGTAATCAGTTTAATCTTAAAGTCTTTGATTTTGTCGCTTCGTAAACACAGTAAATTAAGCGTGTGTCTTAAACCGTCTTTAAAGTGACGTGAGTTAATAATAACTCAACACCTCGGTTCGACTTATCTTTATTGCATCGCGTAAAAACACATTCGGCTCCTCTGTCGGCAGATTTATGGATCCTGTGTTGGTAAAGTGGATCCACAAATCAGCTGCAGCGTTTGGACTCATGCAGGCTGTCGACGAGCTACTTCTTCTGCAAAAAGACAAAAACAAAAACAGACCAAATGAGCAGAGATTGTCTTCAGGCTTCCGTCTCTTTGTTCCTTTATGTCTAAGTTCATTGATTAAATGATTCTTATTGCTTATTTATTTCATAGATTTTTTGTTTGTTCACATTCTTTAATGTCATTTTTATCATTTTTGTCCTGAAATGTTTAAACAACAACACGTTAGGAGAAAGATTTCAAAGTCTTGTTTGTCAGTAGATACAATACGTTAGCTGGTTAGCCCGTATGCTAACGTAGTTAGCCACTAAATTAGCTTTTTTAGCCTGTAAATGAGCTATTTCAATAATCAGTCAGCCTGCACGTCAGCATGTTGGTTTGTTAGTTAATTAGAAAGGAAGCTACCCATGTTAGGCGTTTAGTTAGCATTAACAAAGCTAATGCTATGTTGGTGAATTGGTTAGTTGTCTTATTTACCACCCTGAAGGCTGGCTAGCATTAAAATAGCCAGTAGCTTTGGTTCTTGCTTAGCTAGTTGGTTAACATGTAATTTAGCAATGAAGTTGAGTCTGTTTATTAGCAATGATTTAACCCTAAAGATAGTTGGTTAGCAGTAAGTTAGCCACAAAAGCGAGTCAGTAAGTTAGCAGTAACTTTGGCAGGCTAGTTGCTTGGTGAGCATTAATTTGTTTGTAAAGATAGTTGGTTAGTAGTAGTTAAGTTGTGAAGGTTTGCCAGTTTGTTAGCAGGAAGTTGGTGGTTAGTCAGTTTATTAGTTGTGAGTTAGCCTTAAAGTTTCGCCAGTTGGTCAACAGCAAGCTAGCTTTGATGGTTAGCAGTCAGCTAGCATTAGAAGTAAGTGGCTGGGTTAGCCGTACGTTTGACCTGAAGGTAGTTGTTAAGTCGTAAGTCAGCCCCGAAAGTTGGTCAGTTAGTTTGCATCAAGTTAGCCAGATTAGTTTCTTGGTTAGCAATTGGGTTTCCAGATTAATTTGCCTGTAGGTTAGTCTGATGGTTAGCAGTAATTTAGCTGAGAAGGTAGTCAGCTAGCATTGGGTGTGCCATAAAGGTTAGTTATTTGGTTATCTACAAGTTTCCAGTGAGTAAGCTCATCAGTCGGTTAGCAGTGAGTTAGCCTTGACGGTTAGTCAGTTGGATTAGTTTTGTTGGTTAGCTATTTGACTTTCAGTTAAATTAGCAAGTAGGTTAGTCTGTTGGGTAGCAGTAAGTTAGCCTTGAAGGTTAGTCAGTTGGTTACTTATTTGATTTACCAATAAATTAGCAACTCAGGTTAGTCAGTGGGTTAGCAACAGGGTAGCTAGTTGCTCAGCTATCTGTTTTGCCAGCAAGTTAACATCAGCTAGCAGTATGTTAGTTAACATGTGTGTTACCTGGAAGTGAATAAGTTAATCATTTGGTTAGCAGTAGGTTAGCTTGTTAGTGATTTGGTCGGCCATTTTGTTTTCCACCTGCCAGTAGCTTCGTTAGTAGCTAGTAGGTTAAACCACGTTGAGTTAGTTTTTATGAGTCAGACACAGGGCTCATGAATGAGTAAATATTAGTTAGTAAGTTAATTAACTAACTAACTAACTAACTAACTAACTAACTAACTAACTAATTAACCAGGTCAGTGAATCCTAAACTAAAATCAAGTTTAAACTGATTTACGTTGAATTTCTGGTTCATACATCTGGATTTAATTCATTTGAACTCTTTGTGTTGACAGAAACATTTTTAGATTTTCTGGTTGATGTTTTTGTTTTTACCATCGTGTGTGTGTGTGTGTGTGTGCGCGCGTGTGTGTGTGTGTGTGTGTGTGTGTGTCCGTTGCTAGGCGCCGCGGCTGCATTAAGTGTAACCGTGGCAGCGACTGTCCCTGTCCGTCTGTATTAACTGGGTAATAACATGCAGGCCGAGTGTTTGTGTGTGTGCGACGGCATTCAGCGCGGCGGCATTGAAGTCCGCTGTCACTTCTTTTGTCCAATCGGCTTGAAGCTAATTTGCATGAAATTACCAGAAGAAGAAAAAAAAAAAAACCTTCTTGAGAGGCCCCGGGGCCCCTTTTTAAAGCGACACACACACCCGGCCTTTGTCTGCTTCATTAGTCCATCAGTCTCTCTCTTCTCTCTCCGCAGGCATCTCAACAACAATAGGATCGTTTCCATGGGAACGAGCTGCTTCCACGGACTCCACAGTCTGGAGACGCTGTGAGTTTCGGTGTTTGCGGAGGGTTGAGCCGGGGTCAGGGTGAAGAGTTTGGGGACCAGAGAGGCGACTTTAACGCAAAGGCTTTTTTTAGCTGATCTGCTTTGTTAGTGGCCGGAGTCGTTAGCCTAGCTTAGCATAAAGACTGGGAACAGGGGGAAACTGTTAGCATCCATCACAACAAGAAAACAACACCTACAAGTCTGGTTTAACAGGAAACAGCAAGAAAATATTAGAAGGTCAGTTTACTCACCTGCACGGCTGCTGTCAGTGTTAATAATCAACTTAATTGATTTCTTATTGATGCTACAACATACGTTCATGCTGGTGTTAAAATAAGTTAATTAGGACTTTCTAATCATGAGATGCTCAACATTCACTGAAACAGCTGGAAGCAACGAGTCAGAGCCCAATCTGACCTGTTTATGTGGTTTTTATTGCAGAGAAGTTTTGTTTTTATGGACATTTCAGTTCTCTGGGATGTTTTTGGACCAGTGTCGGAGCTAAAACGTGTAAAAATCACTTCACACAACTTGAACTACGTCCCTGCACGTCTCCATCCGTTAACATCAGACTCGTGTTTAAAGTGAAATGTTTCTACATCCGACCAGTGAAGTCACTTTCAGACCTTCTGTCCTTTATTCTGACGGCATCAGAAGGTTTCATAAGTAAATAATAAAAATCGATAAAGCTGTAAAAGTCGTGGACGTCGATAAAAGTCTGGACGTCGTCTTAATGGATGACTGATCTTCTGGGAAGATATTTGAGGATGTTTTCCGCATTTCAGTGTCAATATTGGTTCACAGAGAGCAAAAGACGTGGATTGAAAATCACAGAACTCCTTTTTGATCGACTCTATTACATCCTACACACTGAAATATCCACAAAACCAAACTGATGAAGGCAGCGACTAGAACAGGTCAGAATCCTGGGACTGGGTCGTTCTTCCTCTGAGTTTATTAACCCTCTGAATTCTGAGCAGCTTCTGGGCGTCACATGTTGAATTTTTCTTCACTGTGGGATCATTTTTCTCTGCAATATGAAGTCCTGAGAGAGCTCAGAGCAGAATGACAGACGTCTGAAATAAGGAAAAAACGTAATTTTTAAAAACAAGAAACAACTGAAGTCAACCTGCCCAAGTGTCCACAGGTGTGACCAACACTCTCTCCATGTTATATGTATATTTTACTACATTTTGTTATATTTTAATCTGTTTAAATACTCGTCTGCTTTCTGCTTTGTGTAAACACTGCCTGCATTTCATCTGAAAAACGAAAAAAAGAATTTTCGTAACTGTGCTGTTGGTCGTAGCTAAATCGTTAACAACTTCACCGTTGCATCAAAAAACACAGAATTATTTGTTTTTTCCAGAATCCGTTTGGAGCAAACTGCTGATTTTTGGCGCATTTTTTAGTCGAGACACGTAGAATAAATATCGTTTTTAACTTTACAGCTCAGAGACTGTGTTGCTCGGTTTTTAACGTTTCCAGCTCTGATAAATGGCGTCATTTTAGCGATTTTTTAAAAGTGAAACTTACATTTTAAACCTACTTTGTTCGGCATCATCACACAGCTGATGTTAAAAAGCTCTTTAACGGCAGAAAGAAATGCAGGAATGTCCGATTTTTCAGAGAAATGCTTCCAGAAAACGCCTAAAATAACGACCAGACGGAGGTTCTTCACCTACTGGAGGCCAAACCGGTGGATTCTTCCTCCGCCGGTTAGCATGAGAGGAGGTTTTCCAGGATGCTGGCTGCAGACAGAGCAGATTAACCTGCATGAACTGTGTGTGAGTGTGAAATGTGAGGAATGTGTGTGTGCATGGAAGTGTTTCTGTTTTGTCAGTCAACCAGAGCGGCAGGTTTAAACACACAAACACACACACGGCGGCGCTGTGTGTGGCCCCTATGCTAATCATAATTACTATTCATGCGCCATGTGTTTGTGTGTACCTGCGCCATCAGCAATAATAAACCGCGGTCCACCCGAGAGCTGCAAACACAAACACGCCGACGGACGGGACGGAAACGAAAACAGGAAGAAGAAGAACGTAGATTAATACAAACATCTCGGTCCAGACTTGAAAGAAAACACGTCCGGGTTTTTAGGGGCGCTGACGTCACCGAGCCGTTTGGCCGAATTAGCATCTCCTGGTTCCAGTAAGTGACGGAGGCGGCGGTCGAGGAGGAAAACCCGAATCCAGCTTTCAAAACATCTCCACAGAAAACCTCGGAGGCGGTTTGTGGGGAACGCAAGAACCCAAGAACCTCCGACCGACACCTGCCGGAACCGGAGCAGCGCCTCGGAGGATCGTTTTCAGAGTCGCACATCAGAAGAAGAAACGATTATTCATGAAAAACTGGTTTTAAAGGACGATTCTGGTTGATTTAGGCCTCAGTGGGTCCATTTAATGCAACCAAACCTCCACAAAATCACATTTACATGCAACGATTTGAAATAAACGGATCATATTTATTAGCAGGGCGTCACTGATAAGTTTCTAATCGACCTGTTTAGCTTTTATTTTACAGCTTTAATGGTAAACATGGAAGCAGTTTGTCATTATGGACGATTTTATGCGTTTTTGGTGCCATTTTGTACAAATTTCAAGTCATTTTGGGCAATTTATGACACATTTTGCACAAACTTCTCCTTATTTTGGACAAATTTTCAGTCACTTTGGACAAAAAAGTCCATCCTCCTGGATCAATGAATAAACGCAGCATGGATCAGAACCAGAGAACAGAGGAGCCAGTTGTTGGAGATACATCCAGCTGATGGTGGAACATCTTTCTACTGATGGTGGAACATCTTTCTACAGATGATGGTGGAACATCTTTCTAC